TAACCAGTTCAGGAGAGGAGGAAAGGAGAGGATATGGCCCGCTGTGTTGAAGCTTGGCCACGGTGGTCAGCATGTGCTGGTCATGAATTAAGTCCTGCCGGGGATCCAGCATGGAGTTCTCACAGGCATGTCACGTGGTGCACCCACACAGTCAGCACGCCTCTTGGTATTGAGAATGGAACACTTCATCTTTCTTGTTTTCTTTGCTTACTTAGTTTTGGCAGTCCTGGCGGTTGAACTTGGGCCCTCATACTTGAAGCACATTGCCACTTAGCCATGCAATCCGTAGCAACAAAGGGGGAGGGGGAGAGGGAGAGAGAAATGAGAATGCCAGAGAAGTGAGGGGCGTTTGCCAGCTGCGATTTTGTGCAACGCTGAGCTTGGGCGTCCCTCAGAAGGCGGCTGGTGCTCAGATGCATTGAGTCACAGACGGGGCTAGAGACAGTGTCCTCGGGTGTGGAAGGACGGCTTGGGTCCTCACACTCTCTCTCGTGCGTATCAGGAACAGCACGACTGTCCGAACCGCCCTCGGGGCAGTCCTGTGGACTGCCATGCCCAGGCACAGGAGCAGAGAAGATGGAGCAAGGGAGGGGGGGTGGGATCGCTGTCCACCATGTCCTTCTTGTCCTGGTGTGGAAATGGAGCCACACATGCGTATTGCCTTAGTGGCTGGACCTAGCTGGTCTGGAATCTTCCTATGTGCACAGTAGACAGTGCGTTTAAACACGCGACAGCCTTTGGAGTGGTCAGTGCAGGGGCAAGGCTTTCCACTTGCTTGGCTCTTACCATGATAGAGCCAGCCATGTGTGTGCTTGGTTTCTCTCAGCATGGCAGTCTGTGCGGGACAGCCAGGAGTGGTTTCCCCAGCAGGACTCACTTGTGGAGCAGGCGGTGACCAGAGCTGTTGGTCCCACATGTGGCTGCTTGGCTGGCAGCAGAAGCTGGGGCTCCATGTGTGCAGGTGGAGGGGAGCTGAGGGGCTGGGCCATGCAGGCCATGCAGGAAAGAGCAAGCAGACGCTGGGCACCCAGAGGAGCCGGGGCTGTGGTGCCCTTTGGGCCGGCTGCCGAGACCCCATGGCTGTGAAGCGCACCAGGATCTCCTGGGGGGGCGGGGGGAGGAGGGGGGAGAAAGCTTTTCGGATGTAGTGAGTGTGAGGAGATGTTTGCCCAGAGTTCCTTGCTCATGGTCCACTGGCAGATCCACACTGGGAAGAAGCCACATGAGTGCAGGAAGACCTTCGTCCAGATAGGATGCTTCAACCAGCACCCACGGGTGCATACTGCAGACCAGGCCGGCGGCTGCCGGAGAAGCAGGAAAACCTTCAGGCCAACTGCATGCTCCTCCCGCTGCCACTGAGTTCATGCCTGAGACCCAGCCACAGACCCGCTCTGCCATCTGCCACGTGGCTGGGTGTGTCTGGAGCCCATCCTCTCAACTCTCCTCTAGTCTGGGGATATTGCCATCCCATGACGCTGCAGTCACTTAAAAACTTACCTTTTGGCCTGGGATGTGGCTCAGTGGTGAAGTGCCTGCCAAGCAATGCTAGGCAGGTTTGACTCCCAGAACCACCACCAAAACAACCAACCAAAAATCCCCTAACAAACTCAGCTCTCAGCTGGGCACCCTTGGCTCACGCCTGTCACCCCAGCTACTCAGAAGGCTGAGATCACAAGAATCATCATTTGAAGCCAGACTAGGCAGAAAAGTCCATGAGGCGTTTTTTTTTGTTGTTGTTGTTGTTGGCTGTGGGTCTTGATCTTTGGGCCTGAGCACTGTCCCTCAGCTCTTCAGCTCAAGGTAAGCACTCTACCACTTAAGCCACAGCGCCACTTCTGGTTTTCAGAGTGGTTTATTGGAGATAAGAGTTTCACAGCCTTTCCTGCCTGGGCTGGCTTTGAACTGTGATTCTCAGATCTCAGCCTCCTGAGTAGGATTACAGGTGTGAGCCACTGGCGCCCAGCCCATGAGACTCTTATCTCCAACAAACCACCTGAAACCCAGAGCGCTTACTTTGAGCTGAAGAGCTCAGGGACAGTGCCCAGGCCCCCGAGTTCAAGCCCCATGACCAACAAAAGCAAAACAAAAATCCTCCCCTCTCTGCCCTTTTATTCTGTTCCTCTCGTGTGTTCTAAACATCATGCTCAGATGTTTTAGAAGTGTATTTTATTCACTTACATAAAATGTGTGTTGCAATCATCCTGACTGCTAGTGCAGGTGCATTAGCACGGCCTCATGGAGCTCAGCAGTGTCACCGGCCTGGGGCCCCGGTGCTGCTCTATCCCCTTCTCATGACCATCCCACTCCCTACCCACCCTCTGCTCTCCCTAGATTGTGTACTGAGCTGCCTGGCAGTCCGTGCTAGATTATGCGAGGGGAGAAAACATCTATTTTCAGTCAGCGGATAAAGCAGCTGCTTTTTTTGTTTTTGTTTTTGTTTTTGTCGGTCGTGGGGCTTGAACTCTGGGCTTGGGTGCTGTCCCTGCGCTCTTCAGCTCTTCACTTCCGGTTTTCTAGTAGTTTATTGGAGATAAGAGTCTCATGGAGTTTCCTGCCCAGGCTGGCTTTGAACTGTGATCCTCATATCTCAGCCTCCTGAGTAGCTAGGATTACAGGCATGAGCCACTGGCGCCTGGCCAAGCAGCTGCTTTGAGTGCCCAGGTTTCTTATGGAAGTCATTAGCCACATCATGGCCCGCCCTCCCTCCCCCCCTCCCCCCCTCCCCCCCAGGCCGCTGTCCCGAGTTTCTGCAGTTAACACGTGAAGGAAATCTTGTCCATACCTGGGTTGGGAACCAGACATGGGAGGCTTCTGGTGGAAGTGTGGACAGGAAGGCCTCAGGGAGGGGACATCGGTGTCTCACTGGGGACCCCTCCCCCCATGTCTCCTGACCCATGAGGGGTCACCAGGTCTCATGAGGCCCCATTCCTCACAGCGCCTGGCAGTGTCGAAGCCATGCTGTCCACCTCTTCTGTGGAGGCACACACCCGCCATGGGCTCAGGCCTGCTGGTCTCGGCCTATGCCACACAGCTCTGCTCCGGCGGGGCTGGGTTTCTAGCAGCACTCAGACAACCAGACCATACTCAAGTGGGCTGAGGGAGATTTGAGGGTCTGTTCACACAAGGACCTCTCCCTGCCCAGAATTCACATGTGGACCTCTCCCTGCCCAGAGTTCACACGTGGACCTCCCCACACCCCCCAGTCTGCTTTCTCTGGGGATTTTGTGTGTGTGTGTGTGTGTGTGAGGTGTGGGTCTTAAACTCAGGGCCTGGGCGCTATCTCTGAGCTTTTTCCTTCCAGGCTGTGTTCTACCACTTTGAGCCACATCATCACTTCTGGGTTTCAGGTGGTTAATTGGAGATAAGAATCTCATGAATGGGGCTGGGAAGGTGGCTCAGTGGTAGAGCGCTTGCCTTGCATGCTTGAGGCCCTGGGTTCGATTCCCAAGTACCACATAGGCAAAAAGAAAAAAGCCGGAAGGGGCGCTGTGGCTCAGGTGGTAGAGCGCTAGCCTTGAGCTGAAGAGCTGAGAGACAGCGCCCAGGCCCAGAGTTCAGGCCCACTACCGGACTCCCCCCCCCCCCAAAAAAAATCTCATGAACGGAGCTGGGAAGGTGGCTCAGTGGTAGAGTACTTGCCTTGCATGCTCCAGGCCCTGGGTTCGATTCCTCAGCACCACATAAGAAAAAAGCTGGAAGCTGGGCGCTGGTGGCTCATGCCTGTAATCCTAGCTCCTCAGGAGGCTGAGATCTGAGGATCACGGTTCAAAGCCAGCCCGGGCAGGAGAGACCATGAGACTCCTATCTCCAATAAACCACCAGAAAACCGGAAGTGGCGCTGTAGCTCAAGTGGTAGAGTGCTCGCCTTGAGCTGAAGAGCTGAGGGACAGCGCCCAGACCCAGAGTTCAAGCCCCACGACCGACAAAAAAGAAAAAAGCTGGAAGTGGCACTGTGGCTCAAGTGCTAGTGCGCTAGCCTTGAGGTGAAGAGCTGAGGGACAGCGCCCAGGCCCAGAGTTCAGGCCCCACTACTGGACACACACACACACAAAAAGAATCTCATGAACTTTCATGCCCAGGCTGGCTTTGAACTCTGATCCTCACCTCGCATCCTTCCAAGTAGCTAGGATTACAGATGTGAGTACTGCTATCAGGTTCTCTGTTTTTTGTTTTTGTTTTTGTTTTTTGGCCATTCTTTTAGTTTGGATGTGTGATACTACTGGCTGTTAATATTCTGGTATTCCTAAGTGTTCCTCACCCTTTGGCCTGGTGTACATGAATAAACAACCATTTTAAATAAACCGTTTGTAGGAGGGAAGACAGGTTGGCCACTCTGCAACAGAGCTGGGATATTGTCTGGAGGAAGGGAACTCCTGTGGAGACAGACAGGGCCCTGCCTTCCTCAGCCCCTCCTGGTAGATTCCCAAGTCCTGGAAGTGAGGCTGGGAAAGAGGAGGCTTTCCTCTCAAAGGCAGCTGCCCCCTGGGGCCGTTTGAATCACCACTTTGCCACTTACCAGCTGTGTGAGCTGGGTAATGCCTGAGGGCTGCCTGCTACTGGGATTTGAACTTGAGGCCTTGCATTTGCTGGGTAGGCCCTATTCCACCAAGTCATGCCTCCACCAGTTCCTGAAGCAAGACGCTTCATGCCCAGGTGTACACTCTGGGCCATGGCCTGCTGATTTTAGGCATCCTGCCCTAGTTTGGGTGATGGGTGCATGTAATCAAATTCATCTTTTTTTTTAAGTTAGTATACACTTTATACATACATAGATACATACAAAAGAAAAACAGTAAAATAAGCAAAGCTGTTCTTTCAGTCCGTTCACAAGTGAAAATGTTGGAAACAAATAAAACAACGCTCCTCCAAAGACCGGGATTTTGCGAGCCACATCCTTCCCACCCCTTCCCCCCAATTCCTTCAGTGTATGACACATTAGAGGGAGTGTGGGGGGGTGGTCCCCATCTCCATGTCTCCACCCCCCCTTCCTTTTCCCGGAGTCAGGAGGGCGGGGCCGGGGTGCTGGACAGCAGTCTAGCCCTGTTCTCTTCATCCATCAAAGCCTCCCAGTACTGCACGGGCCAGTCCTTGGGGTCCTGGTTGTGGATTTTGGCCACGAACTTCAACACTTTCATCTTGCTCGTCTCCAGGTTGGTGCAGGGACCCCACTGCAGTTCGTAATCCACGGGATCCCTGTGGGGGATGCGCCGGTACTCCAGGTACCGCTGCCGCACGAAGTCCTCCGTGATGAGTTTCTTGGGGTCCCTGAAGATGAGGTGCCACTTGGTGGGGTACACCCCCAGGCGCCGCAGGAAGTCCCAGACCTCCGTCTCGGTGATGGTGTTACCCTTCATGAAGATGAGGCCCAGCACGATCATGAGCAGGCTGGCGGCGGGCGTGCCCTGGTCGCCGTGCACCTCGGCATCCTCGTCCACGGGCTCCAGCGTGTTGACCAGGATGTAGGCATTGCTGCGCAGCTCCCGCTCCACCAGCTCGTAGCCGAACACGTCGCGCAGGCGTCCGGCCGCCAGGCGCAGCAGCTCCGGGAACACGTCCTCGTAGTCCCCGATCACGTACTTCAGGATGTCGGTCCGCTTGATCGGGATCTTCTTCTGGTCCTTCACCAGCAGGAACTGCACCAGCTCCGCCACCTTCAGTTCCAGCTGTTTCTGGGTCCGGGGTCCCACGGCTGGCCGGCGCGGCCTGGAACCGGCGGCCTCCACCAGGCCCCAGGGCCGGCGCCGCCCGGGCGTCCGGCCCGCGAGACGTGCTCGGCTCCTCCCAAACTCATCTTCTTTATGGAGAGTCTCAGACTTTTTTTTTTTTTGGCCCAGGGTGGAAATCCTCCCATTCTTGGGCTTGCACCTAGCTTAGGACAACAGGGGCCTTTGCACCAGCTATGGGTTGAGAAGCAAACGACATTTCTGCCTGGACTGATGCCTCAGTTCCCAACCTCTCAAATGGCTAGGGTTACAGGTGTGAGTGTTTGGCTTCAATCTAGGTGTCAGAGTTAGGGACGGGGGATCTGCTGTGGGCCTGTGGCCACCAGGTGATGCCTGCCCCAGGTGAGGGATAACTCCTGTTTGGGCAGCTGCGGTCTCCTCGTAACCAGGTATTTGCAGAGAACAAACCTTTTCATTTGTGCATGTGCACACGCGTTCATCCAGCCATTTGTTGTGGGGTGGATTTTCCACCGGGCAGTCATTCTTGAAGAGGCATCATGATTCTTTTTTTTTTTTTGGGTCAGGTCGTGGGGCCTGAACTAGGCCTGGGTGCTGTCCCTCAGCTCTTCAGCTCAAGGCTAGAGCTCTACCACTTGAGCCACAGCGCCACTTCTGGCTTTTTTCTTTTTGCTTATGTGGTGCTGAGGAATCGAACCCAGGGCCTCAGGCATGCAAGGCAAGCACTCTACCACTGAACCACCTTCCCAGCCCCTTGCCTGGTGATCTTTTGGTTGTCTTTTGCGTATGGATTTTCCAGGGGCTTAAAAATTGAATATCTTAAAAAAGCAAATTGCACATCTTAAAAAAATAGTACATTTCATTAAAAAAAAGTGCCCCCCCCTGCAGCTCAGGCTTCCAAATGCACACAGTGAGACACGGTCGGATGCACGTCCCTGTCCGGTGGCCCCACCTCCGGACATCACACCCACAAAACCCAGGAACACACACGGGCATCTGTGGATCTCCCTGCCCTCCCTCACCCGGCTTGACCCTGGAAGCACTGGCCGGAGTCCTGGGCCGGTCCGTCTCTCACGTCCCCTCCCTCACAAATGCCCCTCCGCAGTTCTAGAAACTGTCAAATCTGCCCATCAATTCCGGACCCTTGTCCCGAGAGCCGAAGTGACCACCTAAGAACGGCCCTGCGCTTTCTCAGTCGCTGTCATCCCGCGCTCTCTGGCCTCCAGAGAGCTTTGCATCCAGGCTCAGAGGGACTTTTCCCAGGTGGGCGGGTTGGGGGTCCTCCCAGGTACCGAGCACAGAGGCCCAGCACTGCGGACAGAGCCGCACACCGCGGCCCTCGAGGTTCAGCACTGCGGACAGCGCCGCGCGCCGCGGCCACCGAGGTTCAGCACTGCGGACAGTGCCACGCGCCGCGGCCCAGTGGCTCAGCACCGCGGACAGCGCCCCAACCCTCTCCTCCCCCCCAAACCCCCCCCACCCCCGGCATGAGCTCAGTATTGCGGACATTCCTGCCGTGCTCGCAGTGGTTCAGAACCGCGGACAGTACCACTCGAAGCTCCCCAACTGAAGTTCAGCACCACGCTCGCGACTGCCTCTGTGGTTCAGCACCACGGACAGCACCAGGCCGCTGCCGGGCCTCGGGCCCCGCAGTCCAGCACCGCCGCGGCGTGGAGGTTCAGCACCACGGACAGCCGTACACCTAGAGCTGTGCACTTGGTTTCAGCACCTCGGACAGCCGCACGCCTAGCGCTGTGCGCTTGGTTTCAGCACCTCGGACAGCACCTCACAGAGACTGCGCCGTGGTCCAGCACCGCGGACAGCGCCGGACGATGCCTCCGCTGCAGCTGCGAGGACAGCACCTTGCAGGGCCCCTGGTCCAGATGAACCGCGGGGGAGTTGGGGGGTGGGGGAGGGAGAACTGGTTCTTGGTGGTAGATGTAGTGAGGGTAAGGAGGAGAAAGCCTCGATGGCTGGATGGAGGGTGGGGCCGCTGGCTGAGAGGTTACAGAGGGCACTGGGGTCACAGAAGTCACAGAGGAGGACTGGGTCCAGGAGGATGGGCAGCACCCACCGGCTAGGTTCGTTCGGCGTGGGTTGGGGGCCAGGGAGGTTCTGACCACGTGGCCGAGGGCCTGGGGCGGCCCGACAGTCATGACCCAGTTCTATAGTGGCCTCTGCTCTGGTTCTCGTGGGAAGCATACTGAGACGGAATGTCGTCCTTGGTGGATGTCGGCTGACCTGGTGTGAGCCAGCTAGGGAGCCGTGGGATCGAAGTCAGCCTCTCCGCAACCCACAAGTCCCCTCTTTTCTAGCTTTTTGCTTTTGTATCAGAGCTCTGTGGACCGGTGGGCCACAGCACACGGACATTGTATTGTCTTGTGTGCAGTTTGGTCCTTGGTGCTGGTGGGTTTGCCTGTAACACGTTACGTTTAACAGCAACAGTAGCTCCCATCTGTAAAATGCATAATCTGCCTAGTCCAGATGGGCATCGAGTAACATCAGATGCCTTCCAAACATCCGCTGAGATGCTTTAAAGAAAACAGAAACAACCTTTTTAGTATGAAATTAAGATATCACCAGTTGTACAGTATGTATTATTTAATGCACCATTGAGAGGAATGCAAGTTAGTGGTGAGACACCACCAGCTAAAAGACCCTGCCTAACTTCAGAGACAGCGGGGAAAAAAATGTGTGAATCAGGATCAGCAAGATCTGGTGGAGTGCCTCTTATTAGACTCCCACACTTGCTCCTAGCTTTCCTCCTTCCTGACTCTCCATGCAGGATCTGCGCACAGTCCTCACGTGTGAGATCAGATTGGGGTCATCTTTGTTAAGCGTTAGCATTGTGGCTACGCTTGCACTGAAAAAAGACTTCAGTTAGGAAGACTGGTCAGACCTGAAGGCCTGGCAGGGCTCGGATGGTGGAGATCCTCCTGGCGAGGGTGCACGCCCCAGTGTGTCCCCAGCACCCCATGCATCATAAACATGGGACTCAGCCTTACTGTAAAGTCCTGACACAGTAGCAGATGTAAGCAATCAGCAATGGTAGTTCCTGTTTCCACTTTAATATGTATTACAAAAACAGAACAGTATTGCCTTTTTGCCTAGTTTTTGTTGTTCTGGAGGTGGAATTGAGGTGAATGGAGGTGTGTGCTTGCTGGGTAGGTGCTGCGCTATTGAGCCACACCCAAGCTCGCTGGAGCTCAGTCCTCTCCCAGACAAGCCTGGTGATCTGTGCACAACACAGATCCCACAGCCTGGCTCACAGCCAGGGCTGCTGGCAAGGGCAATGGCCAGTTGTGGGAGTTTTACTGTGGTCCTACCCAAGGCTCTGAGTAGGATGCCAAATTCTACCACATGTTGATGCCAAAAAGGTCTCATGAGACCACCACGCCACCTACCTGAGCCCTCTACCGTGTGCACAGGTGCAATCAGCACAATCTGGGAGGATTCTCAGTAACAAACAAACAAACAAAAACACCCCAAGTACCTTAATTTTTTTTCCTTTTTCTGATTTGATGGAAGCGCTCTGAGCTCATCAGTTGCTTTTGTCACCACTAGATGGCAGTCGTGAGCTACAGAAAACTACACAGGCATTTCCTACCCGCCCGCCCACCAAAGTTTCTTAGCTAAAAAAATAAAATATTTTTTTATTAGCATATATTAGTTGCACAAGGAAGGTTTACTGCGATTTCCATTGGGACAGAATATCCTCCAGCCTCAAAGCTGCCACTAAGTACAGTGCGTGAAAGAATGATCCAGTCACAGGAGACAGATACTTTAGATTTCTGATCATTAGAACAGCCACAATCAGAGAAGGAGAAAGAAGCAAGAATGGTTGCTGGGGATTGAGGTTAAGGTCTCAGGAGGTGGGCCAGGAAGGCATTGAAACCTCAATCCTTCTGCCTCTGTGTATAAATTCATGTCTGTTGATGCACGCTTCTTAAAATAGTCTAAAGGAGATTCTTGGTCCCTCAGCCCATTCATGACTCAGCACACCACCATCCTACCTGACCCTGCGCTCCACAGGGGCAGGGGAGGGACCAGGGAAGGTCCCTGGGAGCCTGACAGCTGGGTAGTTTAAGCCGGCCTCTCTGCAGTGCCCAGACAAGGAGCCCAGACACGCAGGGGTGGAGGTGGAGGGGGGTCAGAACCCAGGCCAGCTCCTCCCAGGCCAGGGGGAGTTCAAGACGGAGCCCTGGTCCTCCGGCGGCTGGGCCCTCCAGCTTAATTCCTGAAGATTCTGCACCCAGTGCTCGGGGCCAGAGAAGAAAGGCACAACCTCCATCCATCCTCACAGACAGCTTCCTTGAGATACTCAGGTAAGAAGACTGGAGGCTGGGGCAGACAGAGAGGATAAAGGGAGGACTGTGATGCGGACAGGCGTTTGAAGCCCACCTGGTCTGCTCAATGCCTTTGTGAGTTTTCCCTGCTTTCTCTCCCCCAAATCCTGCTGTATGGTGACACAACTTGGCAACCTTGTACAGACAGAGACCAAACCGCAAGGCTGGGTAAAAATGCTCGTTTCCCTGCACCTGTCGGCGGGGTTGGTCTTTTCTTCTATTGCACCAAGATTTCTCTCAGGGATGACTGAGAATGCACGGGTGATCTGGGAGCCACGCGCCCCCCCCCCCCCCGCCCCCGCCATGGCTCTGCCCACTTCTAACATGCAGGGTCCACAAATCTTCCAAGCTTCCTGCATGGCGTTTCCTGGTCTTCCTGCTTCCAGGAAGAACTTCTTCCCTGACACTCCCTCCCTGTCTACCTCCAAGCAGAGGTGGCTGGGGCTTGGGGATCTGGTTTGGAGACCAGGAGAATGTTTGTGATGTGATTTACAAGCAGTGTAGTCTACACAGGAAGGGCCCAGGCACCATCGCCACCTTTGTTGTTTTCTAGTGGTGTAACTTTGTCCAGTGTCTTCTCCTGTGACTTTGTTCAGTGTCCTCCTCCAAGACCTTGTCTAGTGTCCTCCCCCATGACCTTGTCCAGTGTCCTCCCCCTGTGACCTTGTCCAGTGTCCTCCCCTGTGACCTTGTCCAGTTACCTCCACAACCTTGTCCAGTGTCCTCCCCCATGACCTTGTCCAGTGTCCTCCCCTCCATGATCTTGTCCAGTGCCTTCCCCTCTGTGACCTTGTCCAGTGTCCTCCCATCCCTATGACCTTGTCCAGTGTCCACCTCCAAGACCTTGTCTAGTGTCCTTCCCCATGATCTTGTCCAGTGTCCTCTCCCTGTGACCTTGTCTAGTGTCCTCCCTCATGACCTTGTCCACTGTCCTCCCCTCTGTGACCTTGTCTAGTGTCCTCCCCTGTGACCTTGTCCAGTGTCCTCCACGACCTTGTCCAGTGTCCCTGTGACCTTGTCCAGTGTCCTCCCCATGACCTTGTCCAGTGTCCTCCCCTCCATGATCTTGTCCAGTGTCTTCCCTCTGTGACCTTGTCCAGTGTCCTCCCATCCCTATGACCTTATCCAGTATCCCCCCATGACCTTGTCCAGTGTCCTCCCCTCCATGATCTTGTCCAGTGTCCTCCCCTCTGTGACCTTGTCCAGTGTCCTCCCCTCCCTGTGACCTTGTCCAGTGTCCTCCCCCATGACCTTGTCCAGTGTCCTCCTCGTGACCTTGTTCAGTGTCCTTTCCTCCCCATGACCTTGTCCAGTGCCATCCTCTCCATGAGCTTTATAGTCCTTCCTCCTACAAAATGTGGAAGGTGGTTCTTCACTCACAGTAGTTTGTGACCCAGACCCACATGACACACAGAGGACAGGCACAAATATAAGATGATGTCTGTATGTGGGCTGCATATTATTTAATACTATTGGGCAATGTTTATTGTTTGCTTTGTGCTGGGAAGGTGGCCCTGCAGCGGCCACCATCCAGCCCCTGCGGAGCCTGCGAGGGAGCGAGGCTTCTCCTGGGGCTCCGAGTTCGTAAAGGGAGGAGCCGGCCTTTGGAAACAGCTGTCTTTCCTGGGTGAGAGGGCTGGAGCATGGAGCACCTGCAGGGATGGCATCCCCCTCATGCCCCTGTGTGGCTGAGAGGAAGCGGGCATGGGGCCTCTGATCAGCCAGGTCTTGTCCACACAGTTGTTGCTGCTGGGCAGACAATCCCTGGGCCAAACAGAAGTCCCAAACACCCCATGTGCCCCATTCTTCACCCCAAACTCCCAATTGAATGAACAAAACCAAAAAGAACCCTCTGGCTCCTCACAGGACTGGCTGTGCAGGATGAGTCCGGGCAGGGAGAAGGGAGGAACCGGACCTGGGGGACCCCTTGTCGCCACAGCCCCAGGTGCTGTACAGGATACATGTGGAGGCAGATAGACGCCATGAAAGTTAGCTTCCTTCCCTCAGGTGACTGTGACCTTGGCCCACAGTGGCCAAAATAGACAGATTTACAAAATGGTTCCCTGGCCGTGCTTTCTTTTTAGATGGAGAAGTCCCCGGAGCTGGCCAATGCAACCCGGGTCCAGTACTTCGTCCTCCTGGGCCTCTCCACCCGGCCGGGTGTCAGAGCCGCCCTGTTCTTCGTCTTCCTCGCCCTCTACCTGCTGACGCTGCTGGAGAACGCGCTCATTGTCTACCTGGTCAGCACCCACAGCGAGCTCCGCAAGCCCATGTACTTCTTCCTGGCCAACCTCAGCTGCCTGGAGATGAGCTACGTGTCTGTCACCATGCCCACGCTGCTGCTGGGGCTGTGGGCTGGGCCCTACCGCATTCCCTTCACCACCTGCATGACCCAGCTCTTCTTCTTCATCTCCCTCATCTGCACCGAGTGTATGCTCCTTGCGTGCATGGCCTACGACCGCTATGTGGCCATCTGCCAACCCCTGCACTACCCCTTGCTCATGAGGCCCCAGGTCTGCATGGCCTTGGCCTTGATCTCCTGGCTGGGGGCGCTGGTGGTCTCCATGATCAAGACCATGTGCATTGCCAGCCTGTTCTACTGTGGCCCCAATGTCCTCAACCAATTCTTCTGTGACGTCTCCCCACTGCTCAACCTGTCCTGCACCCACGTGGCACTCGCAGAGCTGGTGGACTTCATTTCCGCCATTGTCATCTTCTGTGGAACTCTCCTGGTGGCCTTGGCCTCCTACGTGGCCATTGGCAGGACAGTGCTGCGCATGCCATCGGCCGCTGCCCGGCGCAAGGCCTTC